GTAACAAATGGTATCAGGGTTAGACACTGGACAGTGTGTCAACGAGAATGTTGTGCCCCCAAAAGAGTGGATTATGAGATCCTACATCGGTTGGAGAGGGGAAACCTCTCCCTAACAGACATTTTAAAACCGTGAGATTGACGATCATATGTAACTGGTCAAAGCAAACAATACTCCTAGTGGTAAGCTTGTAGTATTACAAATGGTATCAAAGCCAGTTAATAGATGATACGAGGTATTTGTCGAATTAGGACTAGATCCTCTCTATAGTAGATGCATTTTAAAATCGTGAAGCTGACGACGATACATAACGGGTTAAAGCAGGCAATATCTACTAGCAATGTGCTTGAGTTGTTATAACTGAAAATTGAGACGAAGAAAAAGGTGGTTCTAAGAAAACCGAGATCCCGATCATCGTCATCACAAAGTGGAAAGATGGAATTTTGTGGCGAACCCTTTGGTGGGTATGGCTCTTTTTTTGAATTTGGATCTGACCAAAAAAACCCATCAAATTTAGGTTATGTTATTGAAATAATGACTAAGCTTCCAACTTTTTGTTTAGTTGAATTATGAGATGGAATTCATTTATTTATCCAAACTTTATTTAAAAAAAAAAAACTCGAACTCGTTTTGCTTTATGTCTCTCGTTCTTCTTTTATCCTTAAATAACAGTAGCATTTTCGGGATTTAGACATTATCCATTTTGTTTCTTAATTGGGTATCTATAATTTCTTCTTTTTACTATTAAGATAACATATCTTGGTTGTGATATTACATCGTCCACTTTTTAGGTTTAAACTCATATCGAGCAAGCTTTTGATAACTTTGAATCGGAAGGTTAGGTGATCTTCAACTAAAGATCAGGCAAACATGCTAAATTAGAAAATTTGGAAGTGAAAATGTTTGTGAAAGCTTAGTAGGGTTTAGTTGCATTTTTTTTTTCAATTTTGCGACCACAAATTTTGATAGACATTGCTCAAATCTTTCTACCAACAACACTCCTTCCCGCATATTTTATTCACTCGAGTATTTGTTCATAAAAATGTTTATGAAAGAACGAATGTACGATCTACATATCATATGATTTAAAGTTATGGGGACCTCATGTATTTTTATGTCACATGCATTGGAGTACTTCTCTTGTTATGATAAATACAGACACATACACTACAATATTTATGTTTGACATGATATCATACAAGCTTCTTTCCCTCCATGGCTCTAGCAACGTCGTGCGGTAATTGAAGGGCAAGTCAGAAGATATGTATATGCCTGCCTAGTGGATCAATGTACACGTATATGGGTCATGTGTAGAGAAGTATTCGGTAATTGAAGGGCAAGTCAGGAGATATGTATATGCCTGCCTAGTGGATCAATGTACACGTATATGGGTCATATGTAGAGAAGTATTTATGAAAGATTTTAAAATTTATAGGATCAATGTACACGTATATGGGTCATGTATAGAGAAGTATTTATGAAAGATTTTAAAATTTATAAGTCACTCAACATAGAATTGTTGTAAGTAAAGCATGCATAACTATGGAGTTCTCAGCCATCCTACTCTCAAGATCGCTCTTATTCGGATGTAGTCTTGAGAGCGACCCTTTTGAACTAAGACCACATTCTCTAGGAATGCACCTATACCAAAAATTATCTTATTCTCAAGATCGCTCTCATCCTTTTCATGTATCATTCATTTGAGGTATGAATAGATATTATATTCATTTAGTTCATCTCCCATACTAGTACCCTCTCTCATCTTGATTCATCCTAATGAGTATTAATAAAAGTTTGTCTTGGGTAAGAAAAGATTTGGGAACCTTTGAATGAATTAGAAGTGGATAAATGTTGAAATAAAAGTTAGGAATGGTTGGGCAGTGGCCGCCGGCGCCGGCGCAATAGTAGGGCTGGGTTAGGCAACGCATGGCCTTAATGGGCGACACTAGGGCTTAAATGTGAGTGGTTATCTGACCGTTGTGGGGCAAAAGTGTGGGGCAAAAGCCTATTCTCCCTTTCAAATTAATGCCCCTTTTACTCAACTAGTGCTTTTAAGAACAATTTTTTTAAGAAAAAAGATTGATAATTGACCTAAAGTTTTTTTATCCACACGTTTTCTTTATAAGAATTATTCTTATTTTTGAAATTTTGGGTGATGTTAGTTCCTATAACGATCGCGTTGGTTTGTCCTCGAACTACATCTTACTGGGAGAATGACCTCAACATTTCCCTCTATTCTCTACGACATAGTCACGTTACCTACACCTCGCTTCCTTCTAGCATGTTTTGTTCTCACTCTCGTGCATCTCATGAAAATTTATGGGAGATCACTTAACATAGAATTGCTCAAATCTATTGTATCTGTATGAAGTTACGAGAATGACTTATGAGATAATGTTAGTATAAACATAACTCAATTAGTTTAAATACATATTTTCGACAAAAAAGTTCTAAGATTCAAGTCCACCGTTAACAAATATTGTTCGCTTTAGCCCGTTATATATTGTCAATCTCACAGTTTTAAAACACGTTTATTAGGAGGCTCAACATCGTCGCTGACACATCACTCGATGCCTAACTGTGATATCATTTGTAGCAGCCTAAGTCCACCGTTAGTAGATACTCTAATACCATTTGTAACAGCATCATTCTACCGTTAGCAGATATTGTTCGCTTCAACCTCACTGTTTTAAAATATCTATGTTAGGGAGAGATTTTCACACCTTTATAAGAATGTTTCGTTTTACTTTCCAATCGACTTAAAGATTTTATAGTAATATAATAAATATTAAATGAATACAAATAAAAACCAGCAGATTAATTACTTTTGTCAAAGGGAAGAAAAAAACAAACAAAAGCGTTAGCAAATATTCGAGTCTATCCTGAATGGATGATGGGGCAAAAAAGAAGTCATTGAAAGGTATTGATTGTAAGTGATGTCAAAGACCAGCTGCCCACTCAAACAGCGCCAAGCCAATGCCATTCCCGATGCCACAGCCACTGCCACTGCCACTGCTAGCTAGCAATGGCATACGTAAAATGAATTGGCCTTTGATGTGACTCTTAAAAGCACCAAATTTTGCCAAAACGTACACTAGTTTTCTTTTCACGCACTTCCCTCCATTTGCTGCATCTGATCTGAATCATTCAGCTTTTTTTTGACATGTTCTGTACATATCCACACCTACCCACTTCCTCCAACCCTTCCTTCATCTCCATTTTCTTCCCTTGTCTTTTTGCCTTCTTAAACTAGAAAGACTTAGGCCAATGGGTTTATCATACCATCTCTGATGCGATATTTCATGTGGGTTAGAAGGAAGAACGAAGTATTTTTTATAATAATGTGAAAATCTCTCTCTAGTATACGCATTCTACAAATTCTGAGATGAAGCTCGAAAAAGATAGCTCAAAGATGACAATATCTACTAGTGATGAACTTGAGTTATTACAAATGCTATCAGAGCTAGACACTGGATGATGTGCCAGTGAGGAGGCTGAGCCCTGAAGAGAGGTGAACACGAGACAGTGTGCCAGCAGAAATGCTGGTCTCGAATGGGGGTAAATTGAGGGGTCACACATTAATTGGAGAAGGAAATGAGTGTCTGTGAAAACCCTGACCCTAAATGAAGGTGGATTGTGAGATCCCACATTGGTTGGGAAGGAGAACTAAACATTTTTTATAAGTGTGTGAAAACCTCTTCCTAGACATCACACATCAGTAGAGGAGAGAGAAGAGGAGAACGAAACATTTTTTTATAAATGTGTAGAACCTTTCATTAGCAGGCATCCCACATCTCTTTAAGAATAGAACGAAACCTCTCTCTATCGAAAGTGTTTTAAAAATCTTGAGTGGAAAGTTAAATAGGTAGCGGTAGACATGGGTCGTTACGCTTTTGGCAACATGTGAAAAAAGACACCCTTTTTGCTACTTAGGTTGGGAAAATCGTAAGTTAAGTGTGTTATGAACCACTCAGTTACTATACTTTTTGGTGCTTGTTTTTCATCTTCCATCAGTTTTGGTTCTGTTTTAATGACGTTTTGAGTATACAATTCGATGCCTGGTGTTGGGACACAACTCATGGTTATGTAAAAAGGCTACCCATCACCTCATTTTCCCTTGCCTTTTTATCTGTCTTCCACCAGTTTTATTGGCTTCTTTTTCAGACTTGTTTCTTCTGTCTTTTGAAATTTCAACCATCATATATCATCAAATAATTTTATAGACTTTGTATAAGTTGTTCAAGTTTCATGAACAAACCCACAACAAATTTCAATATTGGTGTTCAAATATTCGTTCATATACCTATCAAGTTGAGTACTGATGTCGTTATTCATATTTTTTTATCTTCCTAGAAAAAATTTCAAGGAGTAATCCTACTTAATTGGTCTAAGTCAAACACGTTTAATTTTGAAGTTCTTACAATTGAGTCATAAAAAGAAAGTTGCATCGTGTTTGTATATATAGTTATGGACTCAGTTTATCCACGTATTCCTTCTGAGCTTTGGTGTCACATGTCCACCTACATTCAACTTGGTTTGCCCTTGAATCACATCATACTATGAAAGGTTCTAATTTTATACTATATGTAATGTCCTATGTCCGTTTCCCTCAAGGTTTTTAGAACATGTCTAAGTTTCTACACCCTTATAAACAAAACTTCATTCAGATATTGTTTTCAGTCTTGATTCATTCATGTTCGACTCAAATTTTTTTTAAACAAAAAGAATTATTTAAATAAAATTGGTAAAATTTAATAAGTGAAATTTAATTCTGCTAGCAAATATGGTTTGCTGTACTTGTGACAGAGTAAATGTTTTATTCTACTCTCCAATCAATGTAAGATCTCACAATTCACCCATTTTGGAGGTCGGCGTCCTCATTGACATACCACCCCGTGTCTAGAAATATTATCTGCTTTGCCGGTCACACGTAACATTTCAGTCTAGCAATAGTTTGAAAATTTCAATTTTATTTCTTTAATGGTAGAAAATAATAAAATTTGTCAACACGTGAGGGGAGAGTGACTCCGAAAACGGAGTACAGTTAATCCGTTTTGGTTCTTTCCGTTCAACGCCAATCACAAACCCTAATCCAAAAATCCCAAAATTCCTTTGGGAGAAATGTCCCAAAACCATCACCAAAATCCCCAATTCTTTCTGAATTACTGGGGAAACATCTCCGAGGAAGATCATTACGCTTCTCAACGAATCAAATCCTCCAAATCCTTCTACACTTCCCCTCGCGGCCTCAAGCTCTTCACTCGTTCATGGCTTCCTCTGCCTCCCGTCCTTCCCCGAGCCCTCATCTTCATGGTCCATGGCTACGGCAACAACATCAGCTGGACCTTCCAAGCCACTGCCATCTTCCTCGCCCAGATGGGTTTCGCCTGCTTCGCTCTCGACCTTGAAGGCCATGGCGGATCCGAAGGTCTCAAAGCCTTCGTCCCTAATGTCGACTCTGTCGTCCACGACTGTCTCTCCTTCTTCCGATTCGTCAAATTGAACCCCCAATTTCAGGGTCTGCCCGCCTTCCTCTTCGGTGAGTCAATGGGCGGCGCGATTTGCTTATTGATCCATTTCGCGGACCCCGAAGGGTTCGATGGCGCTATTCTCGTCGCACCCATGTGCAAAATCTCTGATAAAGTGAAACCCATTTGGCCGATTCCTCAATTTCTTACGGCAGTTGCGAGGTTTTTGCCGAGTTTGGCGATTGTGCCGACGGCGGATCTGTTGGAGAAGTCGGTGAAGGTGGAGGAGAAGAAGATTGTGGCGGAGATGAATCCGATGAGGTATAGAGGGAAACCCAGATTGGGGACTGTGGTGGAGCTTTTGAGAGTTACAGAGGATTTGAGCGGGAGGCTGGGCGATGTGAGGCTGCCGTTCATCGTCGTCCATGGAGATGCGGATGTTGTTACGGATCCGAATGTGAGCAAATCTCTGTATGAGGAAGCGCAGAGCGAGGACAAGACGATGAAGATTTATGAGGGAATGATGCATTCTATGCTGTTTGGGGAGACGGATGAGAATGTGGAGATTGTTCGAAATGATATTGTTTCTTGGTTGAATGCGCGATGTAGGAGTAGGATAAGTGTTAGATGAATATATTCAAATTGTTTCGTTGATTTTAAGGAAACTTCTTGTTCTGGGAATTTGATTGTTACATTGTCGGTAGAACTGATGAAATGTTATGATAATTTTTTTGGTTTCGGGTAAATTAATAAAAATATTCATAAATTTTATAATTGGTCTTTTTAGAAATTTTATGAAGGGAAGTTGGAATAAGAACTAGCATGAAAATCAATCCATTCTATTATGATCGGTGTCTCCTTGAGTTGCGGGTGGTGAAGAGTGGACATAGGGACCCGAGTCAGGGTACATATAGGGACTGGGTTAGGGTACAACGTAACTTAGACCTGGTAAAAAATTACTTAGACTATTTCATTTACAGTGAGCCCGTGTGGTAAAAAATTACTTAGACTATTTCATTTACAGTGAGCCCGTGTGGTAAAAAATTTCAACCCGTGTAGTAAGAAATAAGAAATTTCAATTTAATATCTTTCAAATACTTTTGTTTTTTTTTTTAATTAAATATATTATTAAAAATTTTGAAATTCGATATTTTCAATAACTTTTTAAATATTAATGTAGTATTTTTTTTAATATTTATACCATGATTTATATCTTAGTTATAAACTATTAAAGTATGTTTTCAATCAATTTATTTATTTTTTATGAGTTTGTATAATATATTTCATGATTTTTTTTTCTCTAAAATATATAATAACATTTTTTTTTTGTTAAATTACCATTTAATTCCTAATTTTTTTTATATTTTTATCTATTTAGTGCGTGACTTTTAATGAATAATGAATTATTATTAGCTTTTTCTAACAATTTCAGAAAATAAAAGAGTAATAATACAATAAGATAAGAGTAATTAGATATTTTATTTATTTGTTGGAATATTTATAAAATTAAAATGGAAAATAAAAAGTTGGTATATTATTATCTATATAAAGGGTTTAATTATTCACAAGCAACGAAAGTCGATTGGGCCTGGTTGAGTGAAGCGGACACGAAAGGAACCGAATAAGACCCGTGAAGCCCAGACCCGGATCCATTAACTCGGAGAATTTCAACTCCCCGACTGCCCGCGTTTGAGGATCGCCGGAACGCCATTTGCAATCCACTGGGAGCAGCGAAGATTCTTGATTGATACCTTTTGAGAGTAATTTATCTTTCAGAGGTACAATTTTCTTCGTGATTTTTCTCCGAAATGAGTTTGTTGGATTTATTGTAAGTTTTCGACCAGTCTTTTTTGTTCGTCTCTCTAAATTTACTGGAATTAGGGCCTAATTCCTTAGTCAGATTCGTTCTCTGTCTTTCCATTTTTGTTCTTGGGAGCTTGAGAGTAGTATTTGGAGTCAGCTAGTGTTTGTAATAGCGTCGGATTATGATATCAGTAATCGGATTTTCTTTTCTTTTTTTAATCTCAGATTTCTTCTAGGTGAGTTTGCGGTTTTGATTGTGTATAAATCGATGGATTTGAAGGCAGCGCACTGATGTCATTGTTCTGGATTGTAATTCGTCAATTTGCAGAAAACGAAGCGATGGTATATGACTTCAAGCGCACATTCTTGATTGCATAATCAAACAACAGCCTTTTGTTTTTTATTCTAGTTTTGTGTTCTTTTAAGGAAGTGAATTTAGAGTTCACCACTGAAAGGGCTACAGATCTTTCAATCAAGATTCTTTCTTCAGGATAGGTTTATAGTTTGTTATAGTTCTTTTCCCCCCATAATATGATTCGGCCTTTACTTTACTCTCTCAGGCCACGTCAAAGAAAGTTATTACAAGGGAAGAGTGGGAGAAGAAGCTTAACGACGTCAAGATTAGGAAAGAAGACATGAATAAATTGGTAATGAATTTCCTCGTCACTGAAGGTTATGTTGATGCAGCTGAGAAATTCCGGATGGAGTCTGGGGCTGAGCGTATCCATTAGTTAATTCAGTAACTAAGGCCCTCTTTTCATTTTTGTTTATGTGGAATGTTGATTTATGTGGAGTTCTTGAGATTTGCCTTTCTATTTGCTTCTCCTTATGGATATATAGCAGAAATTGATCTTGCGACCATAACGGATAGAATGGCCGTCAAGAAGGCTGTACAATGCGGTAATGTTGAGGATGCAATTGAGAAAGTGAATGATTTGAATCCCGAGGTTTGATTCCTACACTGAAAACTTTGTTTGGTGGTTAGAATAGATGTTCATCAACATCTTTAGTAATAAACGTATAGGACGAATTATGCTCTGCAGCCTTTTGTTATGTTCTCTTCATGCACATACCCGGAACATGAAAATATTTAACTGCTGTTGGCTTCGCGTGATGAATATTCTTAATTTCACTTGGAAATTTGAGTGCTTTATGACATGTTATATGCTATAGACCAGCTACCAATCAAAGATCTTTACATACTTACCGCCTTCCCTGTCTTTGTAATTTTCATGTTCATTGAACCAAATCTTGTGTGTACATGTGATATTAGATGCTGTTGGTCTTTTTAGCATCTACTCATGGTATATAGCTTGATGAACCTGATGACATGGATTTTAACGATCGATTAGGCAATTATCAATAAGATTTTCTTCTTTTTCCTTCCTTTCTGAGGATGTGATTTCACTCCATTTGTGGTTTGAGCCTAAGTGATCTTTTTATTCGTAAATATGTATGGAATGGGAAGTTGGATTCCCAATTATCTTATCAAACAATAATAATTTATTTAAAGAAAGGAAAATAGTAGTACACATGCACACGACGAATAAATGTCATTTGTTGCTATCATGTTAGCTACCTGATCAAGTTTCTTATGGTAACTGGAAAATAGTTGGATATTGTTTGTTTGATGTTCTCTCTTCAGTTCTTGATGTTATATTATCTAAACACACATCTAAAGTAAACTATCTTGCAGATATTGGATACAAATCCCCAATTGTTTTTTCATCTCCAACAGCAAAGATTGATCGAACTAATTCGTAATGGAAAAGTAGAAGAAGCTCTTGAGTTTGCTCAGGAGGAGCTTGCACCAAGGGGAGAAGAAAATGTAACTTATGTGGCTTTCGCTTTCCACCTTTCTATCATCATATTGTAGCTTATGATAGATCAATAAAGTATATAAATGCTCATGTACTCGTTGACATTTGAAATGTCTTATGTACACTTCAACTATGGATTTCCCTTCACCTTCACCTTCTCTCCAAAATAACCCTTTTACTTCTTTCAGCAAAGCTTCTTGGAAGAGTTGGAGAGAACAGTTGCTTTACTTGCTTTTGAAGATGTTTCCAACTGTCCGGTGCGAGACCTTCTGGACATCTCTCAGCGCCTGAAGACAGCAAGTGAAGTTAATGCAGCCATCTTAACAAGTCAGAGTCATGAAAAAGGTTAAAATTCTTGCCACCATTTGCATTTGAAGTGCCTAACATTAAAATAGTATTCTCTTTCCTACTTGGGAAATGCTGCTAGATCTCTGCCATGTCCAATAATAACATCATGGCAATGAGAATTGAACCTTTGCTTAATATCAGTACTAGAACAAAATCATTGATTTTGATCTCAACTCTAAAGGACACACGATAATATTTTGAGTAAGCAGGCGCATCAATGGCAGACCAAAAGAAGTCAAGAACAGTCTAGTTTTGACCTGCAACCTGATTTAGTGTACTTACGGCTAACAAATTACAATTTGTTGTCGTTTTACAGATCCGAAGCTGCCAAGCTTGTTGAAGATGTTAATGTGGGCACAGGACCAACTTGATGAGAAAGCAGCGTATCCTCGCATCAATGATTTATCCACGGCTATGCTTGAAGATCCTCCTATTTGAATACGTCTTCCAAAAGAACGGTGAAAGAGATTTCTCAGCGTGTTTGATTGGAAGAAATAAAATCACGTAGGTTGATCATTTGTAGTTTCCTTATTGTCTTTCATCATCTTCATTTTAGAATTTCCTTAGTTACATTACTGGCCTCAAATGCTAAGATGGTTGTGTACAAAAGATTATCAAACCTTTATTCTTCAAGTGTCAAATTGTGTGCAACATGTTTGTCCCGCTCACCTTCCTCGCCTTACTTAGAATCTTACAATAATACAACCAAAATTCTTTCCATTTAGGCAGTGAAATGAAAAGAAAGCTTGCGACTTTCTAAACCTCTCTATCCTATTCAAAAGGACATAATGATGAGAAGGAAACAAGCTATGTACATGGAGAAATTGTAAGGATTGCCACAATTCTGAAGTGTTCATACTTGGATGCATCATCAAGAATATCCTCGCTGATTTTGGTGTGCCCATCATCAAAATTAAGAGCATAGCTACTAGGATCGTACTGAAACCTTAGTGGCCGCTTGCTTCCATTCTTGATGGCCTTCTTTAAAGCAGCCCTCACCCTCCAGAACAAACTCATACATTGTCTTTTGCCGTAGGCATTCATCCTCGCCAGCCCTCTACTGCCCTTCAGTTTCATCCCAAGCGCGCAGGACCCGTTCGATGAAATTCCCCAGAGAAATGGCTGCAGATTTCTTGAGAAATTAAAGGGCGTTGTAAATGAGGAGAGACACTCCCTTATACTGCTTGGATGGGAGGAGAAGAGAAGATGCATATATTATAAGTAAAAGCGTTGGAGTTTTGAAGAGAGTGGGAGGAGTAGAGCGCAAGCTTGTTGTAATGAAGGCTAAAATTCTATCATTAAGAGGAGGGGGATTGGTGGGGAAAATAGGACATGGTTGGCGCAGAGGTGCGGTGGGCAGAGAGCCTCTCCAATGTCGTATCACTATCAGAAACTGTTGTTGGCTTGGCTGCTGGTGCTGCCGCTTCTGGTAGAAGCCACTGCTTTGAGCGGTAATTTCCTAACCCATTATATTAGCAAACCATATGATATATATATATATATAATTATATAGTTTTAGTGTAACAGAATTTCATGTCAAATTCTTCCCTATAGACAAATTAGAACTATATGCAACAAAATTAAATAAATATGGCTACTGATAGTAAATATGGTTTTCTTTAAGCTTTTTCTTTTGGGTTTTTCCTCAAGGTTTTTAAAATGCATATTCTAGGGAAAATTTTCTACACCCTTGTAAAGAATGGTTTGTTCTCCACTTCAACCATGTGTAATCTCACAATTCACCCCCTTTACTCAATGTCTTTGTTAGCAGTCGTTCCTTTTTCCAATAGATGTGGGACCCCCTCCCCACACTCACCAATTTAACCTCTTTTGGGGTCAGCGTTCTTGCTATCCCTCGTTCTCTCATCTATCGATGTGGAACCTTCCACCAATTCACCCCTTTAGGGTCCAATGTCCTTACTGGCACACCACTTCGTGTCTTCCCCCCTTTAAGGCTCAACCTCCTTGTTGGCATATCGCTTGATGTCTGGCTTTGATACCATTAGTAACGACTCAAGCCTATCGCTAGTAGATATTGTTCTCTTTGGGCTTTCTCCTTACTTCTCCTTATGGTTTTTAAAACGCGTCTGCTAGACATAAATTTTCACACCCTTATAATGATCTTTTTGACCTTTCCCATCCATATGGGATTTTACTCTGGAATGAGATGATATTAATAGTGAGTGGCAATATTCCGAAGGATATTTGATTTTGTGGTGTTCTAAAGAGGGAGACTGGCAGTGGGAGTGGGAGTGGTAGTTCTAATTGAATAAGGGTGAGGGGTTGGATTTTACAGTCTCTACAGACAAGGGGTAGCAGGCATAAATGAGGGAGGGTGCCTCTTCATTCATCAATCACTATCAAAAAGAATTCCTTGTCTTTTCTTTTCTTCTTTCAATCCTTACTATTTTGTCTCTAACTAAAGCCATTATCAACCATGGTAATTCAATTTCATAGCTTTGTGGGACCTTTCACCTTCTTTCTTCTCTTCTCTTCTTCACCTTTCTTACCCATCCCCTTGCTTTTTCCTTTTTTGTGCTCCCAATTTCCTTCCATATCAAATCCTTGATGTATACGAAATGTTTTACTCGACTACAAGTGCTCAAAACAATGTTTGAGATCTCCCACATTTGATGGAGAAGAGAACGAAACATTCTTTATAAGGGTGTGAAAATCTTTATCTAGTAAAGAAAATTCAAAGAGGACAATATCTACTAGCGGTGGGTTTAGGCATCGAAGTTAGGTTTATGAGCATTGAAAACAATGTTCATTGATATAGGAATTTGAAGCAAAGTTAGGTTTATGTCCAAAATGAATAATATATACAGAATCCAACTCTGGGGAGCTTGTTCCTAATCTACTCGAGAATCCTATTCCTTCTACCGGCGAGATAGTTCTAGGTGTTAATCTTTTTCTTTCCTAGTACAGAGTTTCTAAGAGGTATAGAGTTTAATATTTATGCCTAATCAGTTAAGCTATACTAAAAAACCAAATAAGGACTCCCTAAATCCAGCCTATAATGAACCAAACTAGCCTTATGAACTAAGAGCTTTCTATGGAAATTGAGTGGAAATTGAAAAAACCTAGAAAGATTCATATGATAGGTTCAAGAACAAAGAGGTGATGACTTATGGTTCTGAATGACTTGGTCATGTGGAGATCTATGGTTAATGCTCCGAAGAAGAAGGGTTTGTGTGAATAAAAGCTAGAAAGATATCCAAATAGATGATTATTTGAGAGGAGTATTGTTATTATCTAATTTATAAGGGAGGTTCCGTGGTGTTTCGTTTGAGAAGAGTATTGTTGAGAATGTGACCAAAGTCTCCTCCGTTAATTTAGTAATAACACGATTATGAAACTATAACTCAAGGATAACAACTCTATTGATATTAGTTTCTTTTTAAGTGAATTCGAAAGGAAATCTATGAAAGTTTACGTCGAAAGTGAGTTTAAGTTTTCTTTCGTTTATTGGGTCATGGGATTTTCTCGACAACGAGTGGCCCAAGTTGAAAGCCTATTTGTCTTTGGACCAATTGGACCATGGATAGGTTGCTTAATAGAAGAAACTAATTGTCTATACCATACTATAATGAACTATGACCAATGAACTACGACTACGTTTAATTTTTTTTTTTTTTTTTCATTTGTGGGTCAACTTGTTGTCTAATTAAATAAATTGACCTAAAATATTCTTTTGGACCAACTCGATATTTTGGATTGATTGCATTGATGACTCGAACAATTCGAATAGAGTTCACAACCTAACTTTGTATTTTCGGGTTAGGTTGAATTAATAGTCTTTCTTTTTTAATTATTTTTTTAAAAAAATTCTACTTATCCACCGTACATAGGTCATTAATAACTAAAATTTCATAAAATTGAAATATCAAATATTTATAAGTCACAATGTATCATTATCATCGATTACAAATGTTCTTAATCTTTTTAACAGTAGAATAGGGTCAAGGATTTTAACCCTGTTTTTAGATTGGTTAGGTTAGTCGGGTTGACTTAACAAAAAAAAAATTGTTGGCCCACAAACCGAACCAAATTTTAGATATTCAAAAAACTCAACCATATCCAAATCGAAAAGAACCGAACCAATACTTTGGACTAGTCAAGTTATTAGATCATATGAACACCTGAGGTGAGATTTTTCCTAGATTTTAGTAGCAATCACGTCAATCACAAAACAACTCCAATTTAAAATATAAAGATTTGATTTTTTCTGAACTTTAGAAAAATAAGATTTATTAACAACTTTATTGGGTGCTAATACCACATTTTTGAAATTGTTTCCATTATATCATATAATTTAGTTCATAAATGATAAATCAATTAAAGTTCATAAATAGATTTATAGTTAATAACACACTTTATTGGCTGCTGTTTGTCCCCCACCCCCCAAGTCACACCTTTCATTTAAATAATATTGCCATTTTCCTCCAATATCACGTCCTAATGAGAGCGATGCTGAGAATAGAATGATTAAGAAAGGCTTAAACGAAAGGAAAGCTATTACCTATACCAACAAGTTGCACCTCCTTTTTCGATGGCTCAAGCATAAGAAATCCAGGATTAAATGTGATTTACTTAGAACAATTCTATGTTTGGTGATAAGTTTTCTTAGGATGCATGTGAATGAGGACAAAATATACTGAAAGAACCCGTGTTGCTATGTGAGAATAGTCTTTACTTTTATGAAACGAGGAGAAGGTAACCCTGCATCAACTTTTTATTCTTCAATTCTCGAGTTTTGTATGAGTAGGAATTTGAATTTTGAACCTTTTGATGACTCATTTGTTTTGGATTTTATTGGGTATTCTTTTTAGGTACTTTTTCATAATTTCTTTCTTTTTTGTTCCATCAAATATTTGCCTTTTCTTCACACTAAAAATAAAAAAATAAAAAATCACTTTTAAAATATTTTGCCCTTTTTCTTTATTAAATTATATCCATAGTCAAAAAGCATGCTTTATATAATAAAATCCATTATATGTAACTAATGGGCATGGTTTATAATAATGTTAAGTTCATAAAGTTGAATTATTGAGCCAAACAAAAGTCCCTTCCAATCTTCCACCGCTCCTTCTCTATTATTCTTTTCAAAATTAAATTTTAATATATTTTTAGTTCTTTTCTACCCGGAAAGATTATACCCATCTCAATTTTTGTGTCAAGAAGTATGCCCGATCCATTCAGCCTTAGAAGCTTCGTCAAAGCAAAGGTTAACGTTGTTGGATGAAAGTCCCACGTCCGCTAATTTTGGGAATGATCATTGGTTTAAATCAAAGAATATGAAGTCTTTTAGGAAAGCCCAAAGCAAAATCATGAGAGCTTATGCAGTAGATAATATCATATCATTGTGGAGAGTCATGTTCATCTAACAAACATTGTGAAGTCGGGAATAGGTGGATCCCACCCAGATTAAGAACGGACTTCTTTAAAAAGTAAATTATTTGTTTACGAGAATATAATTTTTTTTTGAAAATACAAGGACTGATTATAAAAATAAAATAAAAACCCCTAAAAAAATGGTATTGGTTCATATAAATAAACTTATATTTATATATATAAAAGGACAATATCTAAGGTGGGCCAGAGAAAAGGGATTGAATGGGGCCCATGAGAAGGCTTTTCGTACACTTAAGCCCATAGGGATAGGGCTGGTGTTGGTAGGGAGCCCAAATCCGTAACAGCTAGGCCTGCTATGGGCCCATCCCATCAAAAGCAGAGTAAAAAACAATGCCGCCCTGTCTCTCACTCTCCCTGCACCCAAACAAAAGATTAATGCATAAAGTATACCCAACTCAACTCTCTATTCACGGTCGCTATCACATCTCGACTATTAACTTTTAATCTACGATACAAATTTAATTTCAAATCAATAAGTCGAAAACATATTAAAACAACGGCCCATATTTGAGTTTCTTTAGTTTGACACAATAGGTAAATGAAACGACAATAAGATAAAAAGAGGGTGTTTGAGGTTTTAAGTGATCACCGTGAACAGTGGTCATACACCTGTTACGACTATAATGTCCCAAAATGTACTATAGATGAATACAACTAGTCGTGAAATCTTCCTACCTTTTTTTTTTTTTTTTTTTTAATTAGTCATATAACGTTACTTTGTTTAATTATTTCAAATGCTCACGTTTTCTAAAATATTTCTTGCAAACGTGACTTGATGTTCAAATATATGCTGACGACGTTATCAGAAAAGTCTGAATTTTTCACGACTAACTTATTCGCTATGTTAGAACAAGTGCAACACAATCCCCTGTCGTTATTTTGTGCGATTATTGTCTCACTCACACTCCACACACTTCATATTTTTTCTAATTTCTCAAATTTAAATCATTATAAATAATACATAAAAAAAACAAAATTGACTCGTGGACTTTTTGACTGTTTTAACGGCTGGGATCCATTTTCCACCGAGCGGTAAGATCTGGACCGTTGATTGCAATTACAAGACAAACTTAAGGAACTTGATGCTCCAAATGTTTGTCTACGGTCTGACAAGCTGGAGTGAAGCTGACATGTTGTACCAGTGTAGTCCTTTTTTGTCCCCCACCCATTTATTTTTATTTATTTATTATTCATAGCTTCTCCACGTGTCGGATTGTGAGTGGTGAGACTTTCGGCCCGGGCACACG